GATCTTATCTTATCACTCTTTAGTCTTGAGTCCTTCCCTTCCATCACAGCAGCTACTGTCATGTGCTAGCAGTTTGGTTATTTTTAAAGATATTTTAGTTGCCCTTTAAAGGATACCTCATTATTTCCATTTCAATCTGAATTTGTTTTCCTTTCTCATATTTACCGTATGTATATACACTGTTTATCAGCATAACCTTATTTGATTCATTTAACTGCTATAATGGTTTTAAATGAAAGCCTAAAATAAAACCAAAAAAACAGAAAGCATATATGATATATCCATACTTTCGAATCAGGCTAGAATTGATTTTTTTTCCCCATGTTCATTTATTATCAGTTTCTCTGCTTGTAAAACAGCAATGGGTCTTATGCGACCCAAATATCCTCACTGTTGCCAGATGTAATAAAATAGTAAATAAAAAAAGTAATGGCAATTCCAAATAACCAGATGACATGTCACCTGTAATCGGAAATGAAATCAAGCAGGCCAGTTGTTTTCCCGAACTAGTGAGACAACAGACCAGGAAGGAGGTGCAAACTCAAACATTTCTTCGCAACACTGACGAACTTCTATTTCCAAATGGTTTCCAAGGACAGGCAGTGCCTGAGCCCACATTTCCCCCTGGGTGCAGCTAAGGGCAATCCGAGCTATGTCCTACCTTGCTTCTCATATACTTGCCGGCCATCTTACATTAGTCCTTCGCCTCTTGGAAGGTATTAGTCGTTAGGCCAACCCCAATCACAGGCCTGCCTCACAGACAGACGTCCTACTGATGGAAAATTGCAGTGGACACTCTAAACACCCTCCAAACCAGAACATAACTCTGCATAATGGAGTCTCTAAGCAGATGGCCTGTAGCCACCTGTGCTTACTCATTGTTTACTGACTCATACCAATATGGTTTATGAAATAGCCGTTTAACGTTCAGTATCATTTAAGCAATATTAGTGGTACCCCGCCCCCCCCCCTCAACACACAGCGATATGGAGCATCATGGCCAAAAGCTTTCCATCAGATTTTCAGCTCTGGTCTTCTGAGGTTCTTTAATATTTACCACAACTTCAACCTGGGCCACACAAAAACCACAGCGGTTTCAAATGATTCATCTGTTGCACAAAGTCAATGTGGTAAAGCTCTGTTCCATGTGTCGGTTGTACACAGCAATAAAGCATGTAGCTCTGCCAAAGGACACTGTGAAAATCCAACCTTGAACCACCACAACAGAGCCCAGAAAGTCCTTAGAAAACACCCAAAGTGATCCAGAGGCCCTTTCGTCCAAAACAGAGAAGGAATGCAGGATAGATATACCAGGGCGTAACAGTCCAAGCCTAGACACATAAGTAAGAGTAAAAAAAGAAATAAACACAACTGTGAGCATTTTGAAGAGGAGTCAAAGTTATCGGAAATGGTACAGTACACACTCATTCGGAGAAAAGTTTTCCGTGCGCTGCCTGTCACATTTGTTATTTTAAAGGCATATTGATTCATTACGACAAAATCAATGTAACAATTTGGACAACATTTGCTTATCAACAGAATATATTTCTACCACAGTGCCTATCACGTGCAGTATGTAGCTGTATTTTCTGTTTTTAGAAAAACTCTAAATATTGTCGGACACTGCCAAATAAGAAAAGATAAGATACAGATATTCCCAGAACTTCTTCTTGCTGTTATGAAAGAGAGCGCACACCTGGTTTCATCAATACTTAGGAACGTCACATTCTCCCCAACCGGCCATAACATCTCCTGGCCAACCAAATCCCAATCTCCACTGAGACTTTTCTTTCTCTTGAAAAAGCCAGGAATACTGTACCACGGTAAAAGCAAAGCAAAGCTGGCAAAGAAGTGCAGGAAACTTCGCGAGACCCTGGGAAAAGTGTGAAGAACGAGTGTGAAACATTAGCAAAGCAGATGAAAGGCTTGATATACTTAAGAGTAGCGTTCTAAAAGTGAACAACAGTGACACAAACTACAACACGAGAGACAATCTGCGAGGAGCCACACGCCAACACATCGGCTCTCTCCGGCGCCATGTCGATTAGGAGCCTGAACCTCCAGGTTTAAAGAAAGCCTCTTTCTCATAGCCATAAGATTTCTGAACACCACCTCTTAATCCTCCTACTCCTCACATTACTGCCCATTGCTTCTGCACTGAACTCACAATAGTCACCACTCGTTTTTGCACACTGCTGCCATTTGAATGCTGCTGAAAATCAGTTTATTACCCTTCTGTAGACTGCTGCTCTTGTATTCTGTACTAATCTCATGCTTAATCGCTTAATCGCATGCTATGGTTTTATGTTCTTGCCCCCAACAATTTGTGTTGTCATGTGGTATGTGAGGAAATGCACAAGCCAGGATTTCCCTGCGCTCGGGTACATTTGGCAAATCCACTTGAAACTGCATAAACACGGAGAAAACCACACCCAGTTAATGAGCACATATTCTTTCAACACCTTCCAGAGTTAACCAGTGCATTACCCTTCACTCCAACCCCCCCCGAACGACTGAGAAATATTCCCGATAATCAAACTCCGAGAGATCCCCCCCGCCGGAAAAGGGTTTTCTCTGAGACGCACCACTGAGATGGGCGGGCGGCCGCAGGTAATAGGTGCTGTAGATGTCGTTCCTCATCTCCAGCTCCAGACGGGAGCTCCGGAAGAGCTCCTCCAGGGCGTCCTTCCGGATGGGGGTCTTCTCCAGGATCACCACCGCCTCCTGCTCCGCCAACTTTGGGGACGCGGCCAACAGCAAGGCAGATGAAGAAACAAGGGGGACAAAAAAAATGTATTCAGTATGTACTGACCCCCCCCATCGAGACCGTTTCATAGGGTGTTCATTCTGTGAAATTCATGCCTCTGCGATTCTGATTCTAGAGATCAAGTTTCATGTTGCAGTCATCCCTGATCTCATCTCTCGCCTCCTACCAGACAACAAGAGCCTTTTCAACGTGTTGCTCAACTTTAACCCCGGAGTGTGGACGTGTCTGCAGGCTTTAATTCCAGCTCGGCTCCTAACGAGCACAGTGAGCTCATTATTGCGCGAAGTGGACTCGATGGCTGTCAAGGACTGCAGCTGTTCTAAACAGACCTACAACCCACGCTGGACCTGGAGAGAGGCACCCTGGGTTTAAGACGACAGAGCCAGCCCAAGAGAAATCACACTAGAGAAGACCGACAGCTATGTAAATATACACAGGAGAGCCAGCTCACACAACCCTGCCTGCCACAACTGTAGATTCAGGTTTATTACTCAGTCAAAAAAAAAATTCCTTTATTTAACCAAATAAGCCAGCTGTAAACTAATTCCCTTTTACAATGATGTAAATGAACACCATGTCTTCTGGATCCTGTTCCAGGCCAGTTCTTAATGACGGGCCAATGCATTTCCAATCTTCTATAGAGGGCGTATTTAAGGGATAAGATCACGCTGTATTGTTGTGCATATGATAAATGCACTTTGACCGATTGGTATTTGTAATCGTGCGTTCAACCCTTAAAATATCAAACGTGATTTGCCACTCGTATCAACCCGAAAAGCAATATTGGAGTTTCAGAACTTCGGAACTGCCGAAACCTGCCCTGCCCTGTGTAAGCAACCAGTTTGTCCACTGCAGCAGGAAAAACACTCATTTTGCATGTGAACAATGCTTCTCACCCCCACCTGTCTGTTCACGGCCGTTTGTCATTAACTGGTCAACTAGTACCAGCTGTTCGGTCAGGGAGATGGGAAACAAGTGCAGGAAAAGTTGTTGAAAACAGAACTCAGCGTTTCTGAAACCCTGTACCGACCGAAGAAAAGTTCAACTAAAAGTCTAAACAGGCAAGAAGACCAATTAACTTATCAATTAGCACTGGAGCTATAGAACTCAGCTGGAACCTTAAATCACTGTAGCACAGAAAACAGAACCATTAATAGGTAGAAAAGAACAATAACTGTGAAAAATGTAGCTGGACATAATTCAATAGGACATAGTAATGTTAAAAATTACTAAATTTTAATATAAATTAATGTGAAGCATTAGCGGTTTTAAAAACGCACCTGAAAATGGCTTAAACGGACGTGTTTTAGTTTATCCTGTAAATTGCCCCAGTAACAGTGAAGAATTAGAACAATTTGCACCCAGGAATGATAGTGGGGGGAAAAATAAATTCTGAAAACAAAAACATGAAAGTGGTTTAAATGTTTTAATGTGGGGGGGATTCGGATCTGTTTTCTGAGAGCCCAGGGGTAATTCCTCCCATTCGTCACCCAGGTTCGTCAGATGAGTCCCCTAAAACACTTGTTTATTTCGTACCGCTTAAATGCCACTCAAGCGTTCACAAAATGTGCAATTTCGTTACTTCGACAAAAGGGATGCCCCCGGGCACAAAAACTACCGGATGCATCCCGGCCGGTAGCTCTATAGCACAGTTACAAGCGCCACCTGGCGGTTACTAAATTAACTGCAGGGTCTCGTTTTCGGCGTATGAAAATATAAATAAATAATGAGGCAAAAACGATTGATGGATGTACGACTTTTAAATAATTGTGTTCAAACTGGTAACAACGTCTTCTGTGTAGTTTTTTTTTGTTCACTTCACCTTATTGGATACATTTTCTCCTTTGTCTGCAATAGTTGTTGTTCAATAAAGCTTTGGGGAAATAATCGTTCACACCATTTCACGTCACACCTCAGAACCACCACCACCACGAATAAACAAGTTTTAATTCCAGTTAAGAAACAAACGTGGCTCTCAGTTAGGAGATTTATCTCATAGTTCATTTGGTCAGGAACTTTTATCAAAGACAGAAACAATATTCTGATGATGCTTCATTTTCATTTAGGTGTCCCTCACGGTGAACTAACGGGGCAAAAAGGCAAGTCATTTTCTGAACAAAAACTATTTAACCTACAAGAGAAAAAGGTGCTTCAACTGTTGTTTTTCATATTGAAAGAGCCGAAAAAAGAACAGCGCTATGGCGCAGTGGTTAGCAGGGTCAGGGAAAACTGGCCCTGGTGTGAGTGTGTGTCTGTGTGTGCGTGTCCGGCAATGGACTGGCGTCCTGTCCAGGGTGTACCCTGCCTTGCGCCCTTTGCTTCCCAGATTCCCTGCGACCCCGTACTGGGAGAAGCAGGGAGGGCACAGATGGATAGATGAAAAAAATATATCAGTGGTTCCCAGTCCTGACCCTGGTGACCCACACAGCTCTTATTTGAACAAAAAAGTTGCATCACTGGAATATTTGCGGTCACAAGTTTGGGATTTTATTT